CCGTCAACATTCCAGAGAGCAATGTACATTGTTCTAAAGCCTGTCCTAGGAAAATCGACTTTAAGCTATCTAGATGATATAATTATAACGAGTAGTACGTTGGAACAAACATATTAAAGATTTAGAAGAGGTTTTTAAAATTAAAAGAGGCCGGGTCTTAAAATTAACGCATCAAAATGCAAGTTCGCGACTAAAGAACTTAAATATCTGGATTATAAAAATTTCGCAAAAGGATATAGAAACTCAGGATTCAAAAATAAAGCCATCAAGAATTTCCCACCTCCCAACACCGATTAAAAACTTTCTTCTTTCCTTGGTTATGTTCTTATTATCGGTCGTTCATAAAAGATTTTGCGAACATTGTTGAACCGTTGTTAGTAATTAAAAGAAAGAAAAGTAAGTTTACGTGACAGCAGACGTAAATACTGCATTGAAAGGTTAAAAGAAGAAGCACTCATCAATGCCCCTGTTTTGAAATTCCCGGAAGGGAACTGAAAACCTAGAAAATTGCAGCAGCTGCGTCGGAACTCTGCCGTAGGTGCGGTTCTCATGCAGAATGGGCCATTCTTTGGCATTTTTTAGTAAAACTTTTAAACTTCTACGCAAAGGAATTATACAGCTACGAAGAGAGAAACATTAGCCGTATTAATGGCTGTACAGAAATTTCGAGTATATTTCGGCAAAGCGCCAGTAACAGTCTTTTCGGAACATGCGGTTATTGGTAGAATTTACTCGGGGAAAAACCTAACGCCCAGGTTAATAAGATATGGGCTCTTAAAACTTCAAGAGTATAACCTCAATAATTAAATATAAATCCGGATAAGGAAAACAATGTTTGACGCACTATCTCGTATAAATAAACTAGACGATGAAGGTAATGAACTCAAATGCGCTGTGTTGACTTCAAAAATTTTACATTCTAGAAAAACAATTATTGCTGAATTGAAAGCTGATCCTGAATTTGGAAGTATCTATGCGTATTTGAAAGAACCCGAAAGCTTTTAACACACAGATATCGATTCAATAAGAAGTAGAGCAGAAAACTATGAAATAATAGATAATTTATTGTTTTATACGAAAGCAACAAACGAAAAATTTCGAATATAAACCAGTCATCCCAGCCTAGCTTCGATTAAGCATTTTGAAGGAATTACACACGCGAAAACAGCGGGTCATTTAGGGGTCAGAAAGACTTTAAAACGGGTACGCGAGGCGGTATATTTCCCGCAATTATACAAATAGTAATTGCGTATGTCAGGTCCTGCAATCAATGTCAGTTAATAAATGATATTAATTACAGCCCGGCCGGGTACTTAAATTGCATTCGCGCTACATTTCTGAATGAAATTTTAGGCATAGATCTTCTTGGTCCTTTCCCCCAGAGTGAGTTAAATAAAAATCTTTTTCTTTTAGTAATTGTAGATCATTCTTCAAAATGGACAGAAATTATTCCACTTAAACGCGCGTCAGCCAAAACAGTCACAGATGCATTCTTACACAGATCCATTTTAAAATACGGTGCACAGATAAAAGTCATTAGCGATAACGGTGAACAATTCGTTAGCCAAATTTTTGAAAACATTTGCTCTGGACTTGGCATACGCCATGTCAAAATGGTCCCGTATAGACCACAGGCAAACATCGCACAAATACTTAATAAAAATATTGTAAAAATAATTCGAAGCTATGTTAGCACACATCACAAGCCCTGGGATGGCTACACAAATTAATTAGCTTATACTTTAAGAACAGCAAATCATGATACTACGGGGAAAACTCCAGCAGAATTATTTTTAGGACGGAAGTTAATTACGCCACTAGATAAATTATTTTTTGTGCAACAAAGAGAGGAAGGTACTATGATCGAAAACGCCATGAAGCATATTTTAAAGTTGGGGATAAAGTGTTAAAGCGGAAATTTTCTTTATCAAGTGCCCCAGACAATTTCACTGCAAAGTTGGCTCCAAAATTTGAAGGCCCCTATATAATTCAGGAAATCAAGGGAGTCGTATTGTACCTTAAGAACGAGAGGGGGGAAATCTGTAAAGCAAGTCCCGACCAGGTGAAAAAATATTATAATCAAAATGATTTTGAAATCATTAAAAGTTTCTTGCAGGACACAAGCGCAAAAGAAGTGGAAGGTCAAGAAGTAACGCCACCCGCTCCAAAACCCAACAAGCAGAGAACAGAAGAGGAACCTAGCCCTTCTACAAGTCATTATAAGGTCCCGAAAAGAAGGAAGGAAAATGCTCAGACTCCAGCATTCAAGAAATCAACGCCGCCTCGTAAAGAATCTTTGGTAAATAGGAAAAGACCAGATACAACTTTCCACAGTAGAAAGTCTGCGTCGAGGAAACCACTTCCAGGGCCAGATAGTCAGGAGCAAACAAGCCCGCCGTTCACGAGAACAAAAAGACAGAAGGAAGAACGAAAAGACTGTCACCAACAGAAGAAATTCAAGCAAGAGTCCAGACCGGAAGCCGCCAAGACCAGCCGTCCACGGGCAAAACGTAAAAGACAGGAACCCGAAGACTACCACTCCAAGAGGCTGGCGTACAGAGGGTGAAAATGAAAAGTCACCATGGACGAAACTCGAAGAACCCAAAGACGAAGATTGACTTCTATGAATTCCATAACTTGGGATCAGTTATGCCAGAAGACGGATGTCGGAGTTCCAAGCATCGAAAACTCAAGACAAGTTAAAATCTTCTATAAATTTTTCTTTTCTTTTGAACTGTTATTCGTGTAAATACGAAGTTCTAGGTGTTTGACGGAATTCAATTTGTCTCGGTTGAGACTTAGTTTTGTTTTACTGTATTTAGCCTAAAGCAAAAGCATAAAAGCATTATTTTCTTTAAGTGTAATATCTAAGAACAAGCAGTTCATGTTGGTCGGAAAGACTGCTTCTGTTATGTTAAAGCCAAAATTTCGGCCGAATGTACAAATAGCTTCGTAATTCTTGTATTACTGGAAAATTTAGTTTCAGTGCCGCCAGCTTGGCGAAGAAAGCGGGAAGTAAAATTTTATTTTTATCTTATTCATTTTATGGTAAATTGTAAAAGTATGTTTTAGAATTTTGTAAATATAGGCAAATACTTGAAAGTTATGTAAAAGTAGAATTTAGTCTAGAAGCATAAAATTTTAGATGCTAAAAGTAAATACGAAAGAAATGAATTCAAATTTAAGTATTAAACTGTAGATAAAAAAACTCTTTAGAGCGCGAAAGCCTGCATGTCTAAAGATGAATGAGGGGGGGGGGAATTAGAATGAATGTGTTTTGTAGGGTTCTCCCACCTACACTTGAATTTTAAGAATGTTAAACATAGCTCATCGAGTTTTCAGTATGTCGATTAAGGCTGTGTCTGTTTGGTCGTCGAATTCTTAACAAATCATTGTGGTTAAGGGAAGTGTTGTAATACAAAAACACGAATACTCCCGTTTGACACCACACATGGTGGAGAACCAGGTAAAGTTAAATTCATGTTTGAATACTTGAATGAATGTGGATTAAGCAGTTAATTAAGGAAAATAAAAGGATCGAAAACGAAAACTTTATCCAGTGTTAAGAAAGTGTAAATCATAATGTATTTAGAAGATACTGATACTTATTCCTTCCAGATGCTGGAAGGAAGAGAAAAGATTGATTGCTGAAGACCAGAAAGGATCTTGTAAGAAGATAGGGTAATTTTATGCATCTACAGAAATTATTGTAATTTTTTAGGAAATAGTTTGTTTTATGTAAACGGGGTTCTTGAGTTTTAGATCAGAATGTGGAAACTTTTTCAAAAGGTCGTTTCTAGGACCTGCTTCCAAGTTTACCAAATTCTGGCTGCGGCAAATGTAGGGTTTATATTTATTTTAACTAACATTTATTTTAAACTATCTTTCCTGTCAAGCCTTTATTTTCCCCTGGAATTGCCAATGCCAGAGTATGTAAATTTTAGTAGAACGCGCAGAGTATTCAAATTTTAGCAGAAGTAATTTGAGTTAAATAGAAGGGAAACGAGATTTGTAAGTGTGTGCTTCTTGAATCCCGAGCGTGAAGGTTGCTAGGTAGAAATTTAAGAACCGCGCGTTTCGGCCTGTGTGCCTACTTCGGCAGTTAGTTGAATCTTTCAACTTCTTAATCAGAAAGTTTGCTGAATCTCAGCTGTATCTTAAAACGCAGTTACGTTAGTCACGTTTATAGAGCCTCGTAGGTAATGACCTCGTTATTTATGCATCCTGTTATTTATTTTTAGTTGTACTTTTCTATTTTTGTAACACCGCCGGGTCGGCGTAGTTTGTGAGCGTCAAGTGAACGCAACTCTAATTTCTAAAGTGAAATAAAAAGGGATTAAACCCTTCTTACGAGTTTGTGTAATTTCCAGTTCATAGCAGTCACTACTACTGTTGCGGACAAGTTGCGGCCACGCAACACCATACATTATTCGTAACGACTCGAACTGACGCTCATATAGGTCACGTATGGCGATGCGACCGTCACTGTTCTGATGATATTGCCAAAAGGTCTGTCATGATATTTTATGCTTTTATTGGTAGCCTAATGAGAGCGGATTGATGTGCATTCTTTGACCCGCTCGTACCAACACTCATTTTTTTTTATTGCCTATCTCTAGTCTACTATCTCATTTCCTTCCCTCGCCCTTATATATCTTCTCCTAAATGCCATTGTGCTGTGGATGGCCGTTATCCCGTCAATGGCCTTGCGTTTTCAATCCTATATACATATTGAATTCCAGGTACTTATATGTTGGGTTACATTCAGTTCAAAAACTGCGTTGGAGGTGAATGATATTTTAAAATCCATTTACGCTATTAATATTCTTTTACAACAACTAACAAATTCAACTGTAGTTGCGTTATTAACGTTTTGTAAATATGTTTTATATCTTTATGCTTCTTATGTATATAAGTTATAATTACCTTCAAATTCATTTTCTAATTTTCGTATTAAATTTTAAAAAACAAATCAGTATTATTTTAATAGGAATTTTTACCCGCATAACTTGTCCACGAATAGGCGTCACTTCAGAATCAGGCACCAGATAAGCAGCCTCTACCCCTGGACAATTTATAACAACGTCGTAGTTTGCAGATAGCTATATTAACAAAAAAAAATTCATATCAAGTAAGAAGAATTTAGCATAATCATTTCTACTTGAATGGATCTTACATTAACGAAAAAATTTCATGCCATAATGTAATTAGAGTTTCATATTAATAACTTCTATGGCTTTAGTGCTAAAAGAAGAAATCATTATTCGAAGAGCAATTCGGTTTTAGAAACTGCAAATTAATATGATTTCATTGAGGCAAAAAGAGATTGGAGCAGGTTTTGAATAAATCTTCTATCTATTTCGAAGGTGATCACTTCATCTTCAAAAGCAAAAAAAATTTTTTGCAAATAGAGGAGGAGAGATAACTATTTTATAAGGATATCATTTGACAGAGTAATGAGAAGGATAGAGGCTTCTATTGACAAAAATAGTAAAAAAACTTGAAAAATCTAAGATTAGAATTTTAGGAGCGTTGGAAAAATTAGAAAATTGATAAATGCTCTTTTTATTCCTTGTAGTAAAGGAAGTATGGTAATGGAAAATATCCATTTTGACAGCTCTTAAACGGGTTTGGACGATTTTTTTTTTTTTTTTTTTTTTTTTTTTTTTTTTTTTTTTTTTTTTTTTTTTTTTTTTTTTTTTTTTCATGATGTCTGCACATGATAACAGAGTAACGAAGATTTTCCCCCAAAATGGAGTGTAAAATCGATTTAAAGTGAATTCAAAGGGGATACTTTCGTGAAGTCTATATGTACCTACGTATATGTGTACATATCTCGCAAAATCTATCTAATCTCGTGTGTACATATCTCGCAAAATCTATTTAAAGGTTGTTTTTTTTTTTATCATGCCAGAAACATAAGAAAATTCGTGCCAATGGAAAACCCCATCTGTCTCAATTTTCACGCCAATACAGAAGCAACTGATAAGATAACACTAAAATGGACTCAATCAATGATGGCAAATAACTTTAATCATGGCGATCCTTAGCAGCTTCATGAAAGTAGCTATGAAAGCGCCATTTTGAAATCATCTTTGGTTAGGGTAAAATAGAAGTAAAATTTACAAATAATTTTGGCCTATTGATACGTAAAAACCCACTGTTTATTAGACTTTTATTTGTATATTTCTTCCATTTCATTTGCTTCTTAATTTTTATTGCATTTTTTTCATTCATCATTATTTTTAAGCATTGTTCTGTATGAATAGTATATTTATTTTTATTCTTATTTATTTCTGAAATTAATTGGAATTAAATGCCTATCATAGTGTCAAGAATTTTTCACGTTTCTGAAATTATTTAAGATTTGAATTCAGATTTCATAAAATTGATTAGAAAATTTTAATTTGGAATAAGGATTTTGTTCAGAAATGCGAAAAGACGAAATTCAATCCTCATGAATTATTTGTTATTGCATAGAGAGATTATAATTCTCCTTGAAAAATCGGGAATCTTTCTGTGAAATCAGTAATGATTCGCTTGTTTTAATTGTTTAAATTTAGTGGATAGCGCCACTGACTGCCATGCCGAAGGGCTCGGGTTCGAATCTCGCAGAAGGCATGGATGTTTGTAAACGTGTAATGCCCATGCGGCATGGGGGCACTCTAAATATGCGGCGAGCCGAAAGTCCTCTCGACAGGTTGATGGTAGGGAAAAGGGGCGCGAGATCCTCGGATCTCTGCCCCGGTGTGCTCTCCATCAAAACTGGGAGTGGAACTGAGCTAAATCCCACTGTCACCTGTAAGTTGCTCAAGGCTGTTGCCAATGGTAGGCGTAACTTCCTCTCCTTGGCACGAGGAATTTCGTGGGCTTAGGCTGACTATAGGTCAGACAAGTGAGTCTTGGTAACAACTACTATACATTTACTATCTACATTATACTTCACATTTACCAGGAGATAATTTTTCATTTATATATTCTTTTTAAAATTATATGTACATCTACCCTTCTACCCGGCTGGGTGAGAGCCATTTTTTTTATTCTTATGTATTGGTAAATAGTGCATTTTTTGCTTTAGAGTGATTGAATCATGCTGTTCTTATGTTCCGGTTAAGGTTTTTCTGCCTCTAGAATAATCTTCATGCAGTAGTTTAGAATTATCAATAATTTAAAAGCGTAAGTGGAGTTAAGCTTAACATGGCATGAATCTGTTTACATTTGAAACTCTTAGTAACACAGTGAATTACGTCAGCTGGTGCACTAACTTCAGTGTCGCTCTGCCCAGTGGGGCTAAAAGTTAACTTTGTATTTTGGTGCACCAAAATTTTGTCTTTCGGCCTGTTGTCTGAATTGCTTGTTCTTACGTAGAAACTCTCATTTTAATTGCAAACAACAATTTTTCAACTGTTTTGTTGTATTCAGTGTTTTAGGTTTTTATTTTATCTTATTTTACAACATTTAAGGAAGATGTTTTGAGTTATGTATTTTTGCCTTGCCGCGAAGTGAAAACTGAATTTATTAAATGAAAAAAATATCTTTTATGAAATTCAAGGCGATAAGTTTAAATGAAGTGCACAAAAACTGCGTATATTTAATGTCCACATCAGATTTATTGATATTAATACTTGTAGAGACATTATGATTTTTTATGCTGAGAGACGGGGAAAATGAGCAATGCCCTCTCCGGATTGCTCATTTTCCCCTTCCTCTCCTCGAATCTCTCAAATACGCGAGTGTGCTGACTATTACGCTACGATGGCATGCTAAGAAGGCGAGAGAAATACCTTATATACTCTTATTCGATTGTTATTTTGCATACACAGCGGAAGAAAGTGAGGTGCTCAACAGGTGACAGGATGATAGTGTAAAGATCGTGACTTGTAAAGATAATGACTTGAAAAGATCGTGACTTGTAAAGATCGTGACTTAAAGAGAACGTGAAATATAAATAATAGGATGAGAACTTGCATTTTACGGTGTGGCAACAAGAAGGGATTCGGAAGATTTTTATATATTTTGTTTAGAGAGTTAAGATTTTAGTATTTTAAATAGTTGTAAGAGTCAAAAACTGTAGTAGTTAAGAGTTTAAAATTTTGATAGTTAAGAGCTGAAGCATTTATTTTTTGGTTCTGTTTTAAAATTCAAATAAAAGTATTTTGTTCATTCTGAAAATTTAGCTTTGTTCTTCCTACAAGGTTCAATATCCATTATATTGAAATAAGGAAAGGATTTTTACTGGCGCAGCCGACAGGATCGGAGTTTCCCCGCATATAATTACGAACCAAAATAACTCAGGTAAGAGCTCAATTTACCTTGTAAACGTAAAATAATTAATTAAGATTATGAAAAGTTAATTATTGTTTCCGTCATGGAATCTTAGTTATTTACTACTTGTCAAGTAGTAATGAATACGCCAGTGTTCAAATGTAATTTCATTTGACTCGCCGGAGTAGGTAAACAATTTATTAAGTATTGATTCCACTGATTGATTTTCGTGCCGAACAAAATTAAATTCATTGTGAATTATATTTAAATAGAAAAAGAAAAAAAAATGCTTTTTATAAAACTAAGAGTCTATTGACTGAATAAAATCAGAAATCAGTACTTGGCGTCAGCCAGCTGCTACAGTGTTACACATAGAAACGGTCGTTTTTTTTTTTTTTTTTTTTTTTTTTTTTTTTTTTTTTTTTTTTTTTTTTTTTTTTTTTTTTTTGTTTGTTTTGTTTGGTTTTTGTTTTTGTTTCCCCAACGAAAGAGAAAACCGCAATCAGGGAGTTCATACTTTAACTAATGTTAAGGATAAATTGAAGGACGCATTAACAAGAAATTAGTTTTTTTTTATTAAATTTGCAAAGAATAAGGTTTATTTAAAATCGAGACATGGCTTTTATGGGACGTGGGAAAAAAGAGGATTTTCTGGTTTTAGCTGCTGAATTAGAAATTCAAGTAGATCCAAGTATGAGAATCGTGGCGATAAAAAATGAAATAATTCAAAGTAATACATATGATGAATCATTTGCTAAAGAAGTATTTTTAACGATTATTGAAGAGAGGAAAAGAAAAAAGAAAGGAACAGCGAAAAAGGAGAAGAAAAGAGGAAAAGAAAGAAGAGATTGAGGAACAGCGAAGGAAAGAAGCTTGAGGAACAGCGAAGGAAACAAAGATTGAGGAACAACGAAGGAAAGAAGAATTAGAAGCACAGCAGAAAAGAGAGCAAATGGAGTTTGAATTGAGGAAACTCGAAATTGAATCTCGTGTTCGACTAACACAAACTCCACCAAACAAATGAAAATGGACATCATAATTTTGATTTAATTAAGCTTATTCCCAAATTCAATTTAAGACACGATGATATTGTGATTTATTTATCCTTATTTGAAAGACAAGCTAAAAGGACAAAGATTGATCCTAAAGATTGGGTTTCATGTTTATTGACTTTAATGCCATCTGAAATCATTCAATTAATTGGTAGGGAATCTGAAGAAAATTTTGAAGATTATGAGTACATTAAGACCATTTTATTGAAGAAATTTAAATTAAATCCTGAAAGCTTCAGAAAAAAAATTTGTGATGCACCAAAAGAGCGCTGAAAAATCAGGGAGAGATTTTCGCTACGAAATTACAAGTTATTTTAAAGAGTGGATCAATGGTCTTGAAATCACAAATTTTGCCGCGTTAAAAGACTTGATTATTACTGACCAAATTAAGAAAAGAGTACCATATGAAGTAAGAGACCATCTTCTTGACGACTGGGCGAAGTTCGTTTCTCCAACCAAATTAGCTGATAAACTTGACGAATATGACAGTGTTCGTAATATCTCAAAACGGACTGGTGGTAATCCATCAACAGACAGAACTAATGAAAAATGGCAACCTCGTTCTCCACTTCCAGAAAGAGCTTTCAGAAATAAATCGCTGTCCGCTGAGAACACGCCAAGAGTGTACCCATCCCGTAAGAGTAATGAACCACAAAAACCTAGTTTCAAACTAACTTGCTATAATTGTGGAAGAGAAGGTCATACATCTAAGTTATGTACCAAAAATCGGATACCAAGAAGTGCTCCTGTAACAGCACAAAACAACTTAATACAAACACAAGCACCCCTTGCAGAAAAAGAAAAACCAGAAGTGCTAACTGCCAAGATCACTATTCCTGTCTCAAAATCAGTGGACGTGTCTGGAAACATAGATGAATTAAAACTTGTCAAAGTGGAGATATTATTCTAAATGGAATCGTAGACACGGGAGCACAAATTTCAATAGTCCGTGAGAAATTGGTTGACACAACATACCTTGCGAAGGAGAAAGTAAAATAGAGATTCTTCTGCTTTTGGGTGAAAACGAAATTACTCTCCACTAAAGATTTTCCAGATGAAAATTGACGATGATTTTCACGGTGGAGTGTCCATTACGTGTGCTGTTTCAAAAAAAGCTAGTTACCGACTTGCTATTGAGTTCTTCGGCTTATGAAACGCTCTGTGGAAATATCGAACTGTGGAGCAGTGATCGTCATTGGGATGCATCCCCCTTAGAGTACAAAGAGACAGATGATGAACCATCCCCAGTTGAAGACAATACTACAAATTTGGCTGTTGTTAATCAGATTTCCCAAGAAAACTTAGAGTCTCTGAAAACAACGAACAGAGTAAGACTACAATTCAAGACACATCAAGAACAAGACGAAACTCTGAAAAAATGCTTTGAATGGGCAAATAAAAATAAAAATTCATATACTTTCGATGATGGCATATTACTTCATTCCTAATCATCTCATAGAGAAGTGGTTGAAAAATACCAGTTTCCAGAAATAGGAAGCAGTGAAGAATTGCAAAATAAATTACCAGAAATACCCGTTTAAAATAATAATAAAATTTATTCTCTGAAAAGTTCTGAAAAAAATGCAGAAGAGCTTCAGAAAAATATTTAGAAAGTAGTTCTTATTTAACTGAAGAAATTCAGCGCTTCAAGGAAGATGAACATATCAGCTCCAAGGAACCATTAACATCTGTTAAGGCTGCAAACATGTTAAGCAAGAGCAGTGATAACTCGGATTCGCTTGACTTCGCATCAAAATCAGAGCCGTGTCAAAAGAGGGACATTAGTAAGAAAGCAAAAAAGAATCGTAAATCAAAAGGTAAAATACAAGATGATTTAAAACCCGGCCAGAAACAAACTGCTGAACCAGTTTATCCAGTTTCAAACCTTAATACAAATCTAGCAATTACTCCTGGTTCAGCTCTTAGCATAAATTATGTATCTGAAAATAGAACAGACTCTACTAATACTATTAAGAAAACTTTGAAGCAGAATAAAAATAATACTATTTCTCAGAAAGTGTCTGAGCAGGATGAAGATAAAAACATGTCTATTAGCAATTTAGAGCATGGTATAATTGAAGAAGCATCATTTAAGGATGTTAATGATAAAGCGGTTGCAGCTATTTCATCTTCTGATGTTCCAACCAAAGCAAATGTCGAAGTGGATGCTGTTGATAGGAAAGCAGGAATTTATTTCAGAAGTTGAGTAATGAAAGCTTATGCTTATCAAACAAGCAGCAATCACCTGTGGAAACTCAGCTTTCTTCAGAAGATACTTTAAATGTAACTTCTACAATTGAAGCAGTAGTTCTGCCAGAAACAAGCAGTAATATTTCTCATCTGTCAAAACCTGACTCCTGTGAAGATAAAAGTATCAAGAAGAAAGCAAAGAAGAAAAAGCATAAACAAAAGATGAAACAGGATCATATAACATCTAATCAAATGCAAAACAATACCACTCGTTCATTGCATCAATTTGATGAGACAAATCTTTCTATTCTCAGTTTAAGTCCTAGAGCAGAACTTTTATTTGAATGTGAACCTTTTAGTGTGTCCACTGATATCAGCAACCAAAGTGAAAATAATAAACTCTCACTTAAAGATTCAGATGTACTGAAAATACAACCATTTGTTCCTTGTGGTACATCTGACACTGTTTTTGTTCCTAATAATTCTTTCAATCGTCTTGTTAAAATGACAGGTATTGGCACCAGTAGTGAAAAAGAGGAAATATCATATGACTTATCAAATGTTAAAATATCAAGCTCTGTTTCAGATGCCACATTTTTGATAGGAGAAAGCCAGCATGTATTGCAAGATACATCAACTGAAATTTCTGTTAGTGATAACTGTGTAGAAAGAGTGGATACAGTGAATGAAAATGTACCTTGTACATCAGAAACTGTTCAATATAAAGAAACTACTGGCAAAAGAAAGCCAAAGAAGAAAAAAAAACATAATCAACATACATCTGATCAAATTCAAAAAGAAGGCTCATCTAATGTAAATGCATTCGGTAAGCCAGATCAAGATTCTATTCATAATGCAGATTTTAATACAGCTAAACATAATGTAATTGATACTGAACCTCTTGAAAAGTCTATTCAAGCTGAAACAGGAAAGGCTTCATTTAAAGATTTTGAAATAAATATATCTGAAATGTCACCATATACTGTCAGTGATGCCTCAAAAACTATTTTATGTTCTGATATACATTGGGTAGCATATTCTGAAAAAGGCAGAATTAAAGAAAAACTTGAAGGGTTTGTTAATTTATTTGTGAGTGAAATCTGTGATTCAAGTGCTCAGTATCTGCCAGAGGAAGTTCACATGGGAATGATGATGCTTTGTCAAGGTTAGCAGTTAACTCTTTCTCTCTCAATGAACTCTGAGCAGCATTGTCTCTACGGTGACGAATGTGCTTCTTGTGGGGGGATTTGTAATGATCGTGACTTGTAAAGATCGTGACTTGTAAAGATAATGACTTGTAAATATCATGACTTGAAAAGATCGTGACTTGTAAAGATCGTAACTTGTAAAGATCGTAACTTGTAAAGATCATGACCTGTAAAGATCGTGTAAGAACGTGGAAATATAAATAATAGGATGAAGAACTTGCATTTTTACGGTGTGGCAACAAAGAAGGGATTCGGAAGATTTTTATATATTTTGTTTAGAGAGTTTAAGATTTTAGTATTTTAATAGTTGTAAGAGTTTTAACTGTAGTAGTTAAGAGTTTAAAATTTTGATAGTTAAGAGCTGAAGCATTTATTTTTTGGTTCTGTTTTAAAATTCAAATAAAAGTATTTTGTTCATTCTGAAAATTTAGCTTTGTTCTTCCTACAAGGTTCAATATCCATTATATTGAAATAAGGAAAGGATTTTTACTGATAGACTAACTGAACTCAAAATGATTGGGTAGCGAATGGAAAATAAAGTTTTGCAATCAAAGTCAATTGTTCTAAAAAGATTTGATACAGAATTTTACCTCGGATAACCGTTCAATTTTTCGTTTCAAAATTGTTCCTCCTTTCTTCTGAAACCTAAAAGAAAGAATAATAAGTCTTGTGTTCTAAATCAGATACATAAAGGTATGTTATACTAAAAATATAAAGAATAATAATTCTTGTGCTCTAAATCAGATACATAAAGGTATGTTATACTAAAAATCTATAGCAACTTGTATAAAGAAATGGTGATTGAAATCAATATACATTTTTACTTGGCATAATAAAGCAAAAAAAGATGCATTTTTTAACATCTGTAGATACAAAAGGCGGTCAGACAGAATTTTCGTTGATTTTATGGAAACAGACTAATTCCCCTAGAAAAGTCAGGATTTTTCGTTGCAATTTTCTTGTAAAATATTTTTATATTTAAAAATTTTTCATTAAATTTTACATATATTACAATTTTTACTTTCCACAATACGCATTTCCTTTACTTAATGTCATACTTTTCATAATCTCTCCCATTTCAAAAGTTTTTTAATTAAAAATTGTCTTATCATTTCCTGGGAGATAACCAAATTGAATTTAATTATTATATATATATATATCAGTTTCACTCAGATAAAAAAAGTAGGTTGGCCTTTTTTTGGGGGGGGGTACTAAATTTATACTTAATTTACGTGCCAACTTTTCACTTGACTTTGAAATTATATGTATATTTTATACTTATTTATAATTTATTCTGTTATAAAAATTACTTTTTATTAGAGAACTAGCAGTATAACAGTTGTTCTGAAAAACGCTGTTTCCAGAAATCGCATAAAATATACAGAAGTGCGAAAATGGATTTGTTTGTTTGACTTTTACTGGTTTTATTTGACTGGTTATGTTTACTTTTATTTATATTTTTTTAGCTCAAAGTGGCGATTTGCTCAGAAGGGCTATTAATTTCGTTTTGGCATTTTGCGTTGATTCACTGTAAACGGCGACTCACTGTTTAACCTTTTGCCACCAAATATTAGTGCCCCCTACTATATTTAAAGAAATTAAATATAAAAATTGTAGTAAGCTCGCCTAAAAGTTACCAAGAGTTGCTGTTCCAAAAGGTTCAATACGTTTTAAAAAATTAATACATATGAAAATCAAATCATTAGACATGTAAAACATTAAAAAACAGAAAAAGATAAAAAGTAAGCGGAAAATGGTAAATTAGCCCATTCGAATTCGACCTCCAAACAGTCTTTTCAAGGGAAATTTCATTTATTTGAACGTCGAATCAGCTAACCAAACCCCATTACGCGTTTTTTCGCCGAAACAGACAATTGAAACTTTTTTCGCTTTTTCGCTAAAAATTTTTTTAAATTTAGACAAAGTGGTCTTGGAAATTTTAATAGTCTCAATTCTCTGTTCCAATTTCCCGACGCGTCCCCGCACAGAATGACACATTAAGGTGTTAAAATATGTTAAACATACCTAAACCTAACTACTTCCTAAATCTAGACTAAAAATCAAAATTAAAAATCAAATATAAAACGAAAATAAATAGCGATGAGCTATTAGTCCTAAAATACAAAAACTACGGGCTGGGCCTGCAAGCTTAAAGATTAACATTTAATTTTAAATTATAGATTTTAGAAAACTGTAAATGAAAACCTTGTAATTAAAATAAAATAAAACAAAATTAAGAAGAGAATAAACTAAGTGGGTCTTGCTAAGACCAAGAAAATTTGTAACAAAAGAAACAAAAAACTGACCTTTGGCGATGCAAAGCTGTCCCTCTTGTTGAAAAATGGCTGCTATACTTCTGTGTCTTTCATTCGGATGACGTATGTAGGGGGGAGCGAAGTTCTGTGGGCATTTAGCCAATGCGAAGAGATTTTCGTTATCTGCAATTCGTCTCCTATTATCGAAGGGGGCCGGAAACCTCGGAAAACCGTGTAAAGATCTCAAAATGGCGCTTGGCTTTTAGTAGGATGGAAAAAAAATATTTTCGAAGTAAAATGGCTAATTCAGCTAAAACTATAAAAAACTTGGCCATTAAAGCAAGAGTAAAAGGAAAAACAGTCATTTGTTAAAAAGTCGTAATTCTTCAAGCTAGCGGGCGATCAAGCTACTACGAAAAATGAAAAAAAAAGCCCGATTTGTTAATAAAAGCAGTAAAAAAATTGGCCATTATAGAAATTTAAAACTATGTACACATATTATTTAAGATTAAAGTGCCAAAATTTTTTGGAGGAAAGAAATGAATAAAACAAGAATTATCTGTACATTTTTACAATAGATTCTCTGAATTAGTCATCCTTCTTAAAAAAAACCGTCCGTAGCTTTAGGTATAAAAAATCATTATCTAATTCAAAAATCTAAAAATAGGTAAGGCTAATGCCAAGCTTTTGTAAGGGAATTTTTAATTATTTTATGAGGTATTAGGTTACTTTTTAAAATAGTTACGAAGTATAGTATTTCTTCTTAATAATATAGAATCTGCATAAATGCATATATGTTTTTTGCATTGTGCTAAAACAACGGTACCTAGAGCCATCAAATTTTCAATAACGTAATCTTCCACCGAATATCATCTGGAAGCCCTAATTTGGAATTTGAAATTTGCTTTATTATCGATTTCATATTTTGTAACCCTTTAACTAATTTTTGATTAATAAACTCAACGATTTCAAAGACAGCAATGGCAACACTGTACGGAAAAAAAATTAACTCCAGCGTGAGAGACTGTGTATCGGAAATCCTAAAGATTTCTAAAGGAATTCTAAAGATAATATGAAAGCTCTCAGATTTTATTTTTTTTAACTTTTTTTCTTAGCAGTAGCAACACTAAATAGTTAACGCTTTGCGAAATACTATTCAAAAGTTCCGATTGTTCAGATCTTTTTTTACTATGGATTATATTTATTTAGAATTAATTAAATATATGTATACTAAAACTAATTTTCGAGTTGATGTGTTTGATTTTGGATGTCTTTTTCTGTTTTAAAATATGAATTAAAAAAATTTTAGAATTGGATTCCTGGCGGTAATTTTAAAACAAATATATATTTTTTATCTAAAATTATTATGACCTATATTTTAACTTAAAGATTTCTTTTTTACAGCTCCGTTCATTAGAAAAATGAATGTTAATTTCAAGCAATACACACCTTTGCATTAGAATAGGAATAAGTTTGGTACATTCTGCATAAAGTGTTGTCAAGAACGCACCATACCTGCAAAAGAAATGGTTCGCATCATTCGAGATTCTTTTAGAAATGTTTAGATATAGTGAAAAAAATTTATTACTGCCGATTTTACCTGTACCGCTCTGGGAACAAGGCGAGCTCTTTGGCGTTTATCTCTCTCCATTCTAAAAATATATCACTAAATGGAGGTGCCTCCTACACAAAAATTAATGATTAAGTGTCAAGATTAAGTTAGCAGTAATTTATTTTTTCTTTCAAAACTGAAATTCTCATTACTATATCATGCAAATAAAAAAAATCTATTAAGTAAAATCAGTAATTTATTTCATTTTGATACGAGCCACAGCAACACGAAAGGGATTCATCATATCTAAATATTATCTCCTAATATTTAAATGATAATATATAATATCTTAATTTTTTTCTGGAGATTTTTAATGGTAGTAAATTCTATTAATACGCGAATACTTTCTAAAAACCATAAACTGTATTCAAAATAAATTCTTCTAAAATTTAAGCTTCCCCGTAAATTGGGATTCAGAATAATTTTTATATTTGGATGTATATCGCTTTCTAAAGAAAATTATATCCATGTTTACCTGCTTATAAGCTCAACCAACGAAGTGTGAAATTAAAATAAAAAGAAAAAGAATTAAGAGGCAAAAAAATAAGATATACTTTAGTTGGAGCAGAACGGAAGAAGAATATCATATCGGGAGGTCTGAATTTTTATCAAAATAGAAACAAACCAAGATTGAATTTTAATTAAATCAGAAAGTTTCCATGTCACAGCTAAAGATCTTCAGTGAAATCTTAAAGTTAATCTACATTTGTATCATTTCTTCTGTTACCGGAAGGAAATTCCCCAAATACTTTGATTAGATTTATTATAAAGTGTCATTTTTTCTCATTATGTTTATGTTCTTGAATTCTCCTGTCTGCTGTGCGATATACAAAAGAAAAAAAAAAAAAACTCATATTTTTTTATTCATTAAAATCCTGTGAACTTACGCTTTGCGTAATTCAATTTTTTATTTAACGTACAGAATTTCATAACTTAATTTTAAATATAATTTTACATTTAAAAATTTTCAGAGTACGTAAGAACATCCCCTTGAAGATGGGAAAGCCATCCCGTTCGTTGGATGTCGAACTACCAATGGCTTTTAAACACTCAACCCCTGGTGGGTTCACTCTACTTGGTTGTAGTGGTTAATGTTACTGCCTGCAGTATCGTAGGCCCGAGCTCGAATCCCAGAGAATGCTTGGATGTATAATGTCTTTGCCACAAGTTTTCAGTTATTAGCGGCAAAGGGGTGGGAAATTCTTGTACTTGTATCCCCCCCCGCCCCGAGAAAGTATCTTTCAAACCTGGAACGAAATTTTGAAGGTATGAATCTTGGGCATCTAAAGATTTTCGACTCCTTGACATGAAACAATTCGTAGACGTATTTTGATATTACTGTCAGACAAGCGAGGTTAAGTCTCAGTAACAAGCATTTTCAGAACTAGAACAGTTATTCCTAAAAAAGAAATTGATCCAGTTTTCCCACTTTGTACGTAAATTATGATAAAGATGATGATTATGATAATTATGAACTTGCAAATAAGTTCTTTTGATGGCAAGAAAAATCTTTTGAGTTACAGAAGTAAAAATTGGATTTCATATTATTATACATCCATTATTTTATAAAGTTCACTGGCAACGAATGTGAACAACTCTTACAAACGATTGACATAACAGTCGGAGTGATATAGAGAGAGGAAATATGATTCGAACGTGGTTATTCTTTTGGCCAGCTCTTTTGTCTACATTAGCAGAAAATTCTGCGGATAAAACGAATTTGAACAACAAATGAATCTTTACGAAATGCCTTTATATTTCTCTTTTTTTCCTCGAAAATTTGAATCTTTAAGATGGGAAATTAAAATTTAACAATTTGTTGCTTACTTCTTTTTAAAAGTATTTACTGCATAGTTGAAGTTAGCTTTAGTTATAAACTGTTGCTTTAGAATTGTCACTTCAAGCCTATTTCTTCCCCTAAACTATTACTCATAACTATGACAGCAACTGCTTCCGAAAAAAAGTTGAATTCTCCAGTTTGCTAAAATCGATTAAGGCCTTTTGTGCAGTGATGAAGACACACGCAACGTAACGATAGCAACACGAGGACACAGTAGCTACGACCTTGAAATTCCTATTTTAAAGAGTTGCTGAAGAGCATTGAGGATATTCGTTACATGTTTATATTTTAAAATTAGGATTTCGATAAAGAGATACTGTTACTTAATTTTATTTATTTTATTGAAGTAAGCTTTGAAATTATTCAAAAGCATTTTACAAGAATGTCTAAATTTATTCGGAAAAAAATCTATTTGAAAAATTTCTTTTTGGGTAATTTTACATTTAAAAATCTTCAGATAATAAAAGGAATTTACGATGTATGATTGTACTTCCAATGCGATATCTATGAAGAATTTAAGTTAGCCTAAGTTTTAAATTAATTTAATCAGAAGCTTCTAGGTTAGAGTAACAGAATCTTTTAGAAGGAAAATACTTCGCTATAAAAAGAATACAAGCAAATTTATAATAAATATCTGAGAAGTACCACAGGAACCGATGATAAGTAATAGCAAGATAATAGTCCTATTCCACACTCGCTGGCTTCTGGAGTTTTGAAAATTCCTTCCAAGAAGTTAAAAGTCTTCTGACACCAAAACCTATTAAAAAGAATGTGTCAGTTAACTGAGGTCTAACAAAAAATATACATCTTTTAAAGAGCTTATGCGACCTCTATTTTCCCAACCATTCGTAAACCGATACTTCCAATTACAAAAAAAAAAAAAAAAAAAAAAAAATTTTAATTGTCACAAATATTCATGTTTTGCCAATTTTTAAAAATTAATTATGTAAAAAATAAGAAATCTAATATTTTATTCGGTCTCCTAGCACTATAGTTACTTTTATTAAAAGTTTATACACATTTTAAAGAATTAAACACAATTTTTTTATTCCCGCGAAACAAAAATTGACTGAGATATTTAATTTATAGATCATGCTTTCTGAAACTTCAATGGTTGTACACAAGTTGTGAAGCAAAATATAGGAACATGTACGTATCTCAAAATTAAGCATTAGCTGAGGAATATTTTTTTTGGAGATTTTAATCGATCAAATGTCATTAATATTCAGATTGTCGAGAAAACTTTTGATTAACACAAATGTTTTTCAAAAAGGAGATATAGTTCACAAACTCTTATAGAATTCTTATTCTGGAAAATGGCGACGCGATTCAAATATTGGCACTTAGCCAACTTGTAATATTATTTACATAAAATAGAAATCAAAAATATTATTAGTCCAGTGCATTTTTTGTATGGCTAATATGATTCTAAGGTAATAAAACTGCTTGTAAATATTTTTAGCATTTGAAAACTTGTGCGGAAATGCTTTCGGTATACTAAATGTAACAAAACGAGCATTACAAACTAGTAAATCACAAAGAAATATCATTGGAATACATTAAATGCAAAGAAAACTTCACCTCGAATATTCCCAATTTGTTTTTAGCCAGTCTCCTAAAGAAAACGTTTAATTTCTGTTTCAAGTTTTGTAAAATCCATAAATGTTTCAAATTTTGAAATTACATATCTTGGTCAATTTTTGTCTTATACGAGTCAAAATTTCAGCGCATCATTTCTTAGAATTAGTTTAAAGAAATACTAAATATATTAGAGAACCAGCCAGATCGTGCTCTGCTGAAATGTATATTGAAAATTTCGAAATTTTAAATTTAATAACTCTGTCAATTTTTGGTTCACATGAGTCACTTTTTTTCCTTTTCCATTTTTTAATAAATATAACTCTAAGGTGCAAGGTGTGTAGAGGAACTAGAAGCACCCCTACATACCTTGTAAGTTTGTCGGTCTCGTAGCGAATCACCCTGTATATATAAATTAGGTACTTTTCCAATTTCGCCCGCGGAAATCTCTCCAAGCAGACTTTATTGGCGACAACACACGTTATACACATAAAAAAAAAGTTGAAAAATGTTTGTTCTACAGATATTTGACTTCGGAGTCATAAACATTTTAATATCGTTTGAAATTTTTTCAAATGAGTCTTTTGTTTCAATTTCACACGAATTTCACACGAATTCTGCGAGGTAACTTTTCAGATGATAACGTGCCGTTCCTCTGTGTTTCTTATTTCGCATTTTGGCGCTACTCCATAGTCTTTCTAATTCTTGTGTGCATTCGCTATTGTGTGTATTTTCCTTACTTGCTTCTAATATGATATTCATGGATCGATTTGGTACTTTACAAGGAAACATTCATTTGCGTTTGCTTCATGGCAAACTCCACCAAAGATCCAGGGCTGTGATAGAATCCGTCCCGCATTGTTTCTGCGCTTCGTGAACATACTTTCATCCACTTCGACGATCATATCAGATGTTTCTATTTTCTGTTGTTGACGTTTAAGCAAAGAAATCCACACAAACCTCGCCGCATGTAGTTATTCCAGACCACAACGATTCCGTGACTGATTTCTAACTCACTGATTTTCACATCATTTAACTGAAGTTAATTCTTCGCTCCAAACATAAATAAATTTTACACACTTCAAGAAACTTAATATCGATGACTCAAACTATGTGCCTTTCCGGATACTTATTTTACTTGGAAAAATTGAAAGGTTGCAGCGCCACTGAATTTCGTCTCCGAAATACTATTTCATTTCAGGATTATTATCACACTAGAAAGCCCGGCGGTCATACGAAATGACCGCTGTTCTAGATATTATAAATTGTAATCAAAATGATTTGTGCAAAGGTGTCTGCTAATTCAAATTGAATTACCCAGGGCAGGCGGCGAGGACGCCCCTTTGCTTACTGCCCCACGGAGTTTCCCCCTTCTACTTGCTTAATTGCTTAGAGAACAATGAAGGAAACCACTGGCGGTACATTTCTTAAGAGCCACCGCTAGCTTAATAAATAAAGGTGATTTAAATAATAAAATGTTAATTCACATGTCAAAGATCTCTTTCTATACAACATTTCTTGTGTAGATCTTTCATCATTTTTAAGGCTCGCCTTGCAGAGAACCATCAATTATTTTTAATTTTGCGTCCGTTCTTTCACGAACTCTTGAACAGGCAACATAAAGTTGACCGCGTCCAAATGCAGGTCAGGTAAAAAAATGCCAACACGCTTCAGCGTTTGGCCCTGAGACTTATTGATAGTTATAGCAACGGCAAGTTTTACAGGAAATTGTCTACGTCTCAATTAAAACGGCAACCCTGTGCCTTGGCAACTTCACCCCATTGGCTAGTATAGTTACGCAAGCAACCAATAAACTATCGGCGACAAACATACACTTAAGCCGCATATATATATATATATATATGGGGGGAAGTAACATCATCTTTTCCGAAACAGTTGGCTCCCAGGCTTAGCGAAGCACACCGTTGGATTCCGCAGGTCACGCCATTTTGACCATTCGCTTCTTCGTGGGACTTTAATTAGCCGAGATATTAATTAAAAACTAATTTTCCCCTACGTTTTCCCTACATTTTCCACTTTCTTTCTTGGTTTTTTTCCTATTAGAGAGATTTGGCTACGTGCCAAATTCTCTTTTCTCGAATATCTACGGAACGGCGCCGAGTTGAAATTCGAGACGCGTATTCTCGGATTACAAAAAATTCTCCGAATCCATCGATACGGTTCTCATCTTCGTACGGCTTTAATAGGCCGAGATATTAATTAAAAGCTGAGGAAATGTTGATTCCCACGCTCATTTTTCCGAGTGGCAACAATAAACTATCGGCGACAAACACTTAAGCCGCTTATATACATACTAGAAAGGCCGTCGGTGATACGAAATGATCGCTGTTCTAGATATTATAAATTGTAATTAAAATGATTTATGCAAAAGTGTCTGCTAATTCAAACACGAATTAGCCAGGGCAGGCGGCGAGGACGCCCTTTTGCTCCACGGGGTTTCCCCTTCTACTTGCTTAATTGCTTAAAGTAGAGTGCAGTAAAGAAAACCACTGGCGGTACATTTCTTAAGAGCTACCGCTAGCTCAATAAACAAAGGTGATTTAAATAAGAAAATGTTAATTCACATGTCAAAGATCTCTTTGTATACAACATTTCTTGTGTAGATCTTTCCATCATTTTTAAGCTCGCCTTGCAGAGAACCATCAATTATTTTTAATTTTGCGTCCGTTCTTTCAAGAACTCTTGTAGCTGACTTGTCCAAATGCAGGCTCAGGTAAAAAAATGCCAACACGCTTCAGCGTTTGGCCCTGAGACTTATTGATAGTTATAGCAAAGGCAAGTTTTACAGGAAATTGTCTACGTCTCAATTGAAACAGCAACCTGTACCGTGGAAACTTCATCCCATTGGCTAGTACAGTCACCCAAGCAACCAATAAACTATCGGCGACAAACAGACACTTAAGCCGCATATAATAAAAATATTTATTTATTTCATTTTATCTGTTTTTTCATCGTTGCCAGTTTTTGCCGGTTGCATATATCCGAATTCTATTATATATAGATGTTAAATTTATTTATTAAATGTTAAATGCACGTGCTTTTGTATTTTTAATTTTTCCGGCTTAGCTTCCTCATAATATTCGTCACGCGCTGCACTGCACGGGGAATAAAACAATTTGCACTTACGCAAGCAACCAATAATTGGCGACAAACACTTAAGCCGCTTATATATAAGATAAAGAAGTAGCAATTTTAAGCAAAACGCCTTTCCCGTGCATTTCCCTCTGTTCTGGGTAAATCCTAAATTTCCATTTGTTTTTAATCCATTTTTAACATACTAGGGAAAAAAAGTGACTATTAAAATTTATATCTGGAAGCGGCAACAACTTTCTGTTAAATCATTCATTTTTCTTATTAAATTTGAAGCATAAATATGTTGTGTTTTGCCGAGTGGTAAAACACTTCTTCTAAATCTTTGAGTTATCTGATTGTATTTCGCACGCTTTCGAAACGTATATATTGCACGCTTTGCCGAGTGGCAACAATTGTTTCGAAGTCGTCGAGTTTGTTAAGCAAAATATCCTTGAATTCGCACAAAATGCAAAATAACAAACAAAACAAAATCTGAAAGGGTTCAGATTTTAACAATCACCCAAAAGGTTTTGTTAAAGTTTTTTACATTCTAGTTGAGCTCTTAGTCTACCAATCTTCTCTTGCACTCACTCTTGCTGACGCTTTTTTTTAGACTAATGTGCACTCAATCTTGCTGACGCTTTTTTTTAGACTAATGTCCCTTTTGCTAACGTCCCAAAAGGGACATTAGTCTTGAAACGTCATTTTGCATCGAAACACTTTTCAGATATTATACCCACCAAATATTATGGCCCTGTATAACATTTAAGGAAATTAAATAATAAAGAATTTGCGTGAATGTATGTATGTTTCTCTCATTGTGAAAAAGCAGCGGTACCTAGAGCAATAAAATTTTGCATAACGTATTCCTGCACCCGAACATGGGCACCTGGAAGCCCGATTTTTGAATTACAGGGCGATAATATTTTGTGGCAACAATCTGAAAAGTGATACCGCCATTTATAGTGATTCAACGCAAATTACGTTTCGAGAATAATAGCCCATTTGGGCTAGTAACAATGTACTTTTCCCCATGTTTTCTCATGTTGTCAGTTATATTCACTTCAGTTTATTGACTAACTTCTTACCAGATGAACGTATGCTGAAGACCTGAATCCTAGAAGTTTACTTTTTATCTTAACGATTTTGTGCTGTTTTATTTTTTCAATAAATAAATGTTGCTTTTCAGAAATGAATGTTGATGAAATGAATTTACAGAAATGAATGTAATGCTTTACAGAAATGAATTAAAATATGAAATGATTAAATTTCTTCTAAGCAGTGCTCAATAAGATAAGAAAAATTGGCTTGTACCTTAAAGTATCCACTGGGACATCTCCTAACAAGTAAGGACACCAGAAGCCTGCTGATCCATCTGCAGTCGTATGCGGACTAAATTTTTCAGATATTAGAGTTACTTCTATGTTGGGAATGGTTTCCAGAGCATGCACTGCCGAAGATACACCAATGATACCTCCCCCAATAACAGCTACTTTCTGAATATTTAACATTCTTCTGTCAAATAGTAATTTCCCAGCACTTCCATAGAAATCCATTTCCTTTGCTTTGCTGAAAACTGAAAGAAAGAGAAAAAAAACATGAAGTGCAATTTTAAAAAAATTAAAAAGAAAGGCTCATTTCATTTAATGGTAATTCGCAAATATTGCACTTTTTTACAACTGAAAGATTTGACAATCTTAGAAGGAATCAATCAAGTGACGATAATTTGCCAAGCACTTTTCCTCCCCTTGTGTTTGTATACCATATTCTAATATTTCAAATTTTTCAGTATTATCGTATTGAAATTAGTCATAAGATGGTCTTTAAGACATTGATGATTGCTAAAATTGTTTAAATCTTGAGAAAAATGTACTGAGCTTTAGTAGCTTTTCTAAACAATTGTCCATCTCTTGAATTTCGCCTTTTGTGATTATTTCAGTATTTCTGTAATTTCGTTTGCTGTATAAGTATAATGCTGATTTACTAACTCTCGCAATATTTCAAACTTTTCACTAGCATTGTACTAACTAGCCGCTATACGGCCAGCCTATTATTATTAACTAGCCGCTATGCGGCCAGCCTTCGTCTGGCTTTTAAATGTACAGAAAAAATGCCTGAAGGGAACACCTGGGACCAATGGCCCCGTGAGTTGAGATTCGAACCCTCCCCCCTTGCATACCGCCCTGGTGTATAAAGCAAACCAAAAAAACATATATATCTTGAATTTTTAGCAAACTGATTGCATAGGATGTGTATTAAACATTTGTTAAAACATAATTTATATCCCCCTTCTTAACTACCACCATAACTACATAAAATATTATATAAAAATTCTGCAATAAAATAAATATAACTCCATGCCATTTCTGATGAGTCAAATTTTTTCAAACATTTTCTGACTCGACAGTTTGAATAGCTCTTTTCCTGGAATTTTGAATTTTACAAATTAGAATTATAAAAAGATATACAGAAAAAGCATTACGTTTTAATAATGCCCAATATATGATGATGTGTTAAAATGTTACGAATCTTTAGGTAATCTTCCGAGAAAATGTGTCAGCAATAATATTACATCCATTTAACTCGTAAAGTAAAGCCGTTTCAGACATAGGATGATTTTAAGCATACATTTCATAAACTGTTACAGTGAGTTAATTTATTGTTATTCTTGAAGGGCATTTGAATACACAATATTAAATGTTTTCCCATTGTAAACAAAGATGTAAAGATTATACTTTTTTCCTTTTCTAGAACAACTCACATATAACTGGCTTTATGAAAAACACGGACTTTGCAGGTCAAGCCCAACAACATTTAAAGTCTGTCCTTGCGCTGTGTTGAAACTCATTGCAAAACTTTAAAATATTGGGAGTTGAAGCCGCTTAAAATGAAATTGTACATCATATGGTATAATGGGAATTATTTTGGGGTGAACACATCTTTTCCTCTTGCATGACCAGTCATAATATTTTCTTCAATAACATTTTTCATTAGCTTCTTGACAGATAATCTTGTACCATTGCAGAGTGAAGGGGGATCCAAATTTCTCAACAGCATTATAGGTGCACCAACTTTTAACTCCAGAATATGCGAAGGTGCTCCAGGCAGTTCCAAAGAGCTCAAAAATTCATTTGGTTAATTTACAGCCTCATCTGTACAAAACACAGTATCAACTGACTTGTAAATTTGAATACTGCCAGGCAACTGTGCTAAAAGTTGTTTATTAGTGGTCCTCAGTGTATAATTTTTTGGTGCGAGAATGGCTCTTTCACATAGCCAACTGTGATCGGGAAAGTGCTGTCTTAAGTTCTGCAAGTAACAGGTCTTGGTGGTTTCCCACAAAGTTTCAAATACATTCCAGTAATTATACATCTATCTTGGTTATCTAGTGTGAGAAATCTATTTCCGAGTTTCAGCAAATTCTTGAGGTGTAGTATCTCCATTAATATGAACTCTTATATTAGTTCTAATATCAAGTCTCTGAATTTCATTCCAAATATATGATGATTTTAAGCATGCGTGCATTTCATCATCTCGTGTTCTCCGTGGAACGAGGGGTAGTGTCTGTCGAAAATCTCCAGCAAGAACCAATGTAATGCCTCCCATTCTTCTATTGTTATGTCTCAGGTCTTGCAATGTAACATCAAGGGCTCCGAACTCAGCTTTGTAAGATATTGTGCACCATCTTGATTCAAAACTGCAGTCATAATTGTTTTAAATGCTTCCTTTTGATATGGAATCAGTTTCTTTTCATGTTCTAAGTATTTTGTAAGTTATTGCAAATTGTAACTCATTTCATTACAAATTTCACTGCGCATTGCCGGTTCAACATTTCGTGTTGGTTCAGGTAACCCGAATGACTGCAAGTTTTGTCCACCTAAGAAGCTAATTTTGTCTTCAATCATAAGAAATTATAATTGATAGCTAGAACAAATAAATATAGTTGTTTGTCGATAGTTATATGCTTGTAAACAAACAAATATAGTTTTCCTTGAAATGTGTGATTTGGTCTCGTACAGCTTCCTTTATCGATGAAAATTTTAACTAACTATTATGCAACACATTTACTTATAACTTTACAGTTTAATATGCTTATAACATGGAAATCTGTGTGTCAGAAGTGAAAAAAACTGATCTATTTTGTCAGTATTATAGACATCATATGCAGAAAATTTCTTAAAAAAAAACCGGGATTTTTTCACAGTCATTCTTTCCATCTTAAAACGTCAACAAGATTCTTTCTCTGCAGGATCTTAGACGTAATATTGTACCTCTATTTCCAACAACACAATCAACCATCAATTTTTTAGGAAGTTTTCATGTCCCGGTTTTTTAGGTTTTCCCCTTTGGAAAAAAAAAAAAAAAAAAAAGAATCCTCAACGCATAATCGTCGTCCAGTTAAAAAAAAAAATGATTAAGAGTTACAAATTTGGCGCACCTTCAACTTTGGGATCTTTAGCTTTGCATACATGTTTCTTTGATGCTTTTTGATAAATAGAGAATATACGAATACCTGTTCTCTAGTCTCACCGAATTTCGTGATAATGTGACAAAATATAAACATAGAATTCCAGGACTTAGAGCAGAACCCTGATAGAAACCAAAACTACTGACACTATTAATTAAATTCAATAAATTTCTTTCATTCGGCGACATTTTGGTCTGGTCCCTGTATAACAGTAGTGTATATTGTAATTGAATACCTGTAATTGCCTCCTATCTTAGCTGTCCGGTTCTCATATGCTTTTCAGCAATCTCGAGGAGTAGACAGTACTCGAAATTTTTCGGCGGCCGGGATAAATTTATATAAGACTGGAGAGAGCATCAGTTTCTCAGTTGTTAGTTGTAAGTTTTAATGTGGTTCGAAGTATTGAGGTGTATCTCCGTGTTAGCTTCGCTCTTCAGATCCGCTTTCCATTGACATGTGTTTAACGATTTAGTAGTTTGAAGAATAACTGCTGATTGTATTCTGTAATACTGCCAAGAGCTGTACGAATATTTTCGTGAAAAATTCCAGCATTATGAAGTAGTTTTTTTGGTAAATTTTATCGAGCTCTCATCGGTTCTGTGTGCATTCATTTTGTCAAAAAACCGTACACATGCAGCAGTACTACTATAACTGCAAAGATAATTTCATAACTGCAAAGTTTTAACTTTCCTCTAAAAACATAATTCCATTATTTTCAGTAGTTATTGTAAGATAAAAACTTCTTTTGGAATTCAAATATTTTCGAAGGAGGGAAGGGGAAGAAAGCTTGGTCATTTACTACGGTATTTCCATTTCTCATAATCTCTGTCATTGATCGTATAAGACCAGTAGGAAGGATTCGAATTTCTTATTTCATTTAATTGACTGTCTAGGACAGTGGTCGGCAAAGTGCGGCTCCAGAGCCATATGTGGCTCTGTGGCTCCTTAAGTGCGGCTCTGGTACAAATATCCACGGAAGGCGCAGTAATATTTTCATTTAAAAAAACTTGATAAGAAAAAAATTACATCTTATTTTGATAAATTAAAATTCTTCTATAAATCGAGAACATGTACAATTTTTTGTTTGAGTAAAAAGATAGATAGGTAATTAAAATTTTATATTGCTGTAAAAACAGGTAACGAACATCGAGTTTAAACTTATTAGTTTTCGTAAACGTAAACATAAACCATGTGCAAGCTACCGGCATGCGCGTGCATACTTTTTATAAAATAGTGAAGGCATAAATTGGCATCACAGAGCAGCAGTTGCAGTGTGAATAGTTTTGTCTTATCTACCGAGTCTGCCGTTGTCCTGTCTTATTAAAAAGTTGTATTTTTTAATCTAGCTGCACTTCTTACAGGTATTTTTATACGATTTTATTACACATGCTATGTATGTTTGTGGTTCCGGTACAAAATTTGTAATCGATTTTTCGATAACTTCTATTTGTCCAAATGTTGGAAGTTTTCTTCCATTTTTGGTCATATTAAAAGTTTTGTTATTCTGATGATGGAAAAAAGTATTTTTTCTTTTTAGTGCAGTTGCATATATTAATAAAATTGTACTTTTTAAAAATATTTTTTTTAATTTTTATTTTCATTAATTTAATAATGATAATAATTTTGTACCGGTGGCTTTAGAAAAAAATATATTTGGAATATTTTTATAGGCATCCCAATTAACATGGTTACCAAAAAAAAAAAAAAAAAAAAAGCAAAGAAAAACGGAAGATGAAAACCGCGAATTTAAAGTTGAGTGGACCGAGAATTTAGCGTTTATTCAAAACTGGAATGGACTTCTGATATGTCTTATTTGTAAGAAGAATTCGCGCATAACAAGAAGTCAAATTTAGAGATATACTTTACAAAAAAGCACGCGTCATTTAGCACTAAATATCCTACCGGTGATGCTAGGAAGAAAGCAGTTGAGGAACTTGTGTGTTTAATAACTGGATGCAATTTTCCAGCAATATTAATATGGCAAGTTTTGTTTAAAGCCAAGAGATTACTAAGAGAGGAAAACCGTACACAGACGGCGAATACATAAAAAAATTGTTTTATAAATGCATCCGAAGAGCTATTTCGGGATTTTAAGCACAAAGCA